GAGAAGTGAGATTATAAGCTCTGATTCAAGATTCAGTGATAAGAGTATTCTGATAAGATGAATAAGTTCACTTAAGAATCATCTGAGTAGATAAGATATCTGCAGAAGCTGAGACATGACTTTCATACTGTAAATTCTGATAAGTCAGAATAGTGCAGTCTTCACTAAGAATCTGATTATAATAAAGATATTAATACTGTTATTTATAAATTCTAGTCTATAAGATAATGAGTTTCTACTGAGATGAACAGTCTGCAGTATATGTAAGAAAAGAAGAAATTATATTCTTATTAAAGTTAAAAAAACAGAAAATAAACAGAACTATGAACATAATTTAGAGATTAATAAAGAAAAAATAAAGAAAACTCACACTTACACTCTTAATATCTGTGACACTTAATTCTCTCACAACTATTAATTTTCTTCTTCAAAGAAGCAGAGAGTATTATATTTACAGTACAGATAATTATTACATTTAATATAAAGACTGTCAGAAATGCACAGACTTCAGAGAAGCTGAATACTAGAGTACACACAGTTGTAGCAGAGTCTTGAGAGCTGACTGTCTACACATGTAATCAGATATTTCTTATAAAGCTGTGTTCACTCTCTCAGTTATACTGAAGTATTCAGCCTGAAAATAATTGAGATGTGAAGAGAGAGCTCATCTACTCAGATTAACTTCTGTTATGAATTCATAACATTCACATTGTCTTGATTACCTGGATTTTACAGGTACTTGAGAACTCATCTCTCATTGACAATGAGATTGCAGAAGTGTGTCATGATGTGAGAATCATTGATAGAGAATCTAGACATATTCACATATACCTGATCAGAGATTGTATAAGTAGAGAGAAAATAATTATAGGTCTGCAGAGTCACAGAAGACACTGATAACACTGAAAGCTTTGTAAGAACTGTCAGCTAGAGTCTGTAAGAAATTACTTATGAGAAGACTTATAGCAAAGAAGAGAACTGTGCTGCTTAGAGTCAGAGACTGATCTGAGAGAGAGATAAGGTGAGCCACTGGCCTGAAGATCAGATATGATAACAGAGCTGAGAGAAATGAAGACACAGTTATAAGCAGCAGTATTTCTGCTTCATCAGCTGATAAAAAGTAATCAGAGAAGTCATGAGAATACTTATAAAAAGCTCAGTGATGATCAGACATTATTTATAAAGATATTGAAATTGAAAAAATTTTTATTCTTGAGAAGTTCTTGAATCAATATACAGACATTATCAGAAACACTTTCTCTCTATCATCTAAGTGAAAACACTTTGCAGATGAATAAGAATACTCATAGTTTATAAGAATAAAAGCTGTTATAGAAAAAGAGAAAAGAAGATAAAGTTCTATAGACAGATCTAGAATATTTATACTACTTTAGAGAGATTTACTTACACTGTGAATAATCTCATGAAACAGTCAGATCACTCTAGTAAACAAGAGTAATTATAAATCACAGATCTGAATCTTTCTATGTGACTATAAAGAGTGATTACAGACTGTGAATATCTTAATTCTACAATTCTATAGAGTTAGTAAAAGAATGAAAAATTTCTCACAATTCTACAGTGTCAAAGAACAATGATTTATAAGAATAAGTAAAAGATCAACTCATGAATATTTCTCTTTAATGAAGATAATCTTATAGACAGTGATTCATCTATGAGATAAATCTGTGTAATAATTATACAAGAATCTTGTGAAAATGATTAAGAGTTAACTGAAACTCTTCTGTATAAAAGATATGAGATGAATCTGTGTGATAGTGAGAGAAGAATCTGTAGATTATAAAGAATCTCACAGAATAAGAAACTGAGTAATAGACTCTTTTTTCTTCACAGTATCAAGGGATTTTTCCTCACTAAGGTTTTTTTATAGATGTGAAGAATTTTTAGTGAGTATCACTGCAGTGCTGAGCTGATTCTATAAAGTCACTCAGTGAAAGACTTCATGAATGAAGTCTTAGAGAGAAGAGAATATATAAGAAATCTCACTTCTTATAGATTCTTTACTTCTATTTCTATCTCTTGTATAATTAATAGAGCTAGCAGCCCTTGACTACATACAACTATATAGACTGAAGTTCATGAATACTATTTATAACTCAGCTTGAATACTATTATACATTTAACCTCTACATTTTATCTTTCTACTGTGAATACTTCTAGTAGTTAACAGTACATATCATGCCAAGCTGCAAACACTTAAATAATCGCCTGCGAGCACTTATTCTTACATTTAAATGATATAGTTAGAAAAGTGATATATTAGATTATTTCAGTAATAATCTGCAGCTGAGAGAGTAAGAAATAGATATATAGAGATTTAATATTTTAAATATAGACTTATAACTGATAATGTTTTATATCTTAAAAAGAATAAATTTTACAAAGACTCTCTGTAAACTGTGTAAGTGAATTTAAAATTATAGTAGATTATAAAGTATCAGTAGTAAAAGTAGTCTATAGCTTCTCTAGAGTAAGATTCTTAATAAGAGAGTTAGTTTAATTATAGAAAAAACAGTTCTAATTATTAATCTATCTATAGAATAGAGAATTGAAAAGAATATATTAAAAACAGCTATAATAAGCAAAGCAGTCATTATAATATTTAAGAAGAAACTATATATAATCTGTAAGACTAATTATTCTTTATCTAGAAAGAATGAATTTAACTTCATCTCATAAAAAAAGTATTGAAAAGACTTAAGAAAAGAGTGAATAAGTGTTATTAAACTTACTAAGTAATATATTACAGACTGAAGACAGAGTGAGATAATTAATCTATTCTCACTATGATATTTCAAGTTTATGACAGAGTTACTTAACTTCAGATTATAAGATTAAAAGATCTGAAATATCAGAGTATTCAGATAAGATATTTAAGTTATCAAGATTTAAATAATTCTTATTTTCAATAATTATTAATTCTTGTTTATCAAGCTTGTGAAAAGAAATCTGATCAGAGATATCTTTATTTTCAGATAACTGATTTTAAGTCTTTCATTAATTATAATGTTCTGATAACTGAGATAATTTTTATAAAGATAGATTAGTTATTGAGTAACAGCTTCTTTATAAACTATGAAATCTCAGTAAAACTGATATTATAAGTAAGAATCTGTATTTGAATTTAAAGACTTTAATATAATAATATTAAGATTCTTAGAAAGAAGTGAAAGAGTATTATAAATACAGTCAGTGTCTCTAAGAAAGTTAATAATATAATCTTTATACTTATACTGATATTCTCTGACTTGACAGATCTTAATAAAAATATATATATATGAAATTAATATCTCTTTAATCTGACTGAGAATAGAGAGATCTGAATCAAGATCACTGAAATTAAAATTATTCTCTTAAAAGAATAAAAATAGCTTATTAGATAGTTATCTTAAATTAACAGTATAATAATAAGTATAAATATTATCTTAAAGATTTATTCTGAATTAGTAAATTTAATAACAGCTATAGATCTTTATCTATAAATCTTTAAGTATATAATAAAATTTCTGTATATATTATTAATTATCAGAATTAATAGCTGAATCTGTAAGATAAGTAGAACTCTGAGAATTCATTAGAGAATTTGAGATAATTATAGCTTATAACTGATTATATTTCTGAAGAATTATAAGAGTTTCTATATTTAATATATTAATTAAGCTTTCAGATTATATAGAGTGCTGAGATATTAAGAAATTATTAACTCTTTTATTAAGTTAATTAATGAATAGATCTGCAGAGCTCTGAGAAATAGAACTTTAAAAAGTTAAGAATAAGAAAAATAATATAAAAGATATCTGTAGTGAAAGTATATCTATAAAAATAAAATAAGATTAACTTAAAAATAAGTTAAATAATAATATAGATAATTGATAAAAGACTGAAAAGAGATCTGTAAAATTAGAAAATAAATTAATTATTAAAGATAGCAGCTGCAGCTATTTTCTTAATTAAATTAAGAATAAAGTTAATAAGAAATATTCTCTATAATATCTAATAATATAGTGAGCTTTTTAAATAATAGTTTTCTTTTTACAGACTACTGTTAATAAAGATATATCAGAACTATGAATTTCACAGTGATAAAACTTAATCTTAGATAATATATCTATTTTAATAGACTATTCACAGACTTGAGAGACTGTTATTAATTATATAAAGTATTAATATATCTGAGATAATAGAGAGAGTTCAGACTCATTTATCACAGAATCTATAACTATAGAAGAATCTGATTTTACTGTATATATCTATTTACAGTTCTATACAGTGTAAAGAGATAATCAGTGATAGAAAAGATATAATAAGAGAAGATTATAATATCTGAGTTTTCTGAGTGTAGTATTAAAGACAGACAGCTGTAGAAGTAGTAGAATACTATAAAGAAATAAATTAATCAAGAGACTGATTTTATAAGCAGTGAATACAGACTTTTAATATATTATTCATTCTTAAGAATCTATAAAAGATGATTAATCAGATGTATTATCTATTCAAGAATCTGTACAGAGTAGATAGTTGATAAGATGTGTAATCTATTATTCAAGAATCTGTACAGAGTAGATGATATGATTGATAAGATGAAAGATGAATGCATTGTGAGTGTGTAGAAGTCATAGTACAATGTCATGAGATTGCACTTCACTTAATTCTACATCAATCAGTGGGCTGTATTTGTGTCAAGAACCTCAAAAAGGAAATTCTCCACTTTTAATGACCAGGGTTTTCATCATATATTTGCTTCGCTTCGCTCCGCAAATAACCACCGGGCTAGGGTGTTGAAGCTGCAGCGTTGCGCCGAGATCACGTGTGTGGATTCATACAGTCAAACAACTCCTCGCTCTTCCTTTAGCAACAAGGCAATATTAAGAAATCGCTGGGCCCTTGAGATATAACTTAGCTGTTTAAGTTGATAGCGTTGGGGATTACACTCATTTTTTTTTCTTTTCAATCATCCAATGAAAACCTCTCTACCTTCACTGAAAGGGAGTCTGGTCCCAATCACTTTCCTTCGATTTCCTTTTGAAGCCACCAAACTTTCAAACAAGATCTTGAGCTGATGATGTATTTGATCTCTAGTTCCTATTATGACTTGTTTGCTATCAAATCAACATTGCGATTGCGTTAACAATGTTCATCCATATCTGAGACTGCCATGGAGTGAATGATGCCGTGGAGTGAATGATGGATGCCGTGGCTGATCAACCCTGTCCTAGATGCCTTCATCATTCACTCCTTGGGCGTCATGACGGTGCGGTGCTGTTGTTGTGTTATCGCATCATACACATTCCTCTACCTCCATCAAAGCCACGGTTCATTGAATTTTTAAACCACTCTCATCCTTCTCCTCTCAGGTCCCAAAGTGTCCATTATATCCCGCCGCTCTATTGCCTAACCTCATCTTCTTGCCATCATGGAGGTGCCACAGCTTCAATCCCCATCCCAATCAGACCGGAACAATGATGAGGAATATTATCCATCTTTCCTAGACTTCGGAAATATTAAACCCCTAAGGCATAGGTGGACGGATCCTCAGCGAGAGGTGTTGTGTGTTCTTCGACGGTTTTATTCTCTTGCAAAGAAAGATGAAACTAAAATCTTCAACCACATCTTTGATACAGAGATCGTGGGTTTCAAAGATGGCCTCCCTGTCACCACTGTCAATACACAGCATTATGACATGCTGTATAGGAGACATCTCATTTGGGTCTCTGTGAACTCAGCGTCCCTTGCTGATGATGAAGAGTATGAGGAATGCCGGAGAGTTATTGAAATTGCCGCTACAGAGCTTGGTATTCATTTACACCGAAGGAATCGTGATGACAGCCCAGTTAAGCCAAAAGGCCCAGGCTTCCAACTTTTACAGTCTTTCTTTCGTCCTAGCACAGATGGTAGCCTCCAATCTAACCCAACACCTGACGCCGACACCTACGCTACCCACGAAGTAGTTGAACCTGCCATTGAACCTGCCATTGAACCTGCATGCGCCCGGGGAGCGGAATTCCCTAGGGCAGGGATGAAGCCAAGATATGACAGAACCCGAACAAGGCCACAAATCTTGTATCGCTTCTTCAACTCGCAAAGCAGCGGCATCAATGATCCCCAGTATTTTTCTTCGGGGCTTGCTGATACCTTGCACCCCTCGCTCTACCATCAGCGTGACATTGAAGCGATGGCCAAAACCCATTTGTCAAGATACGAAGTCAACTCTCCATTTATTTCAACATTCTCCACCCTGCTGCCTTGCGTTCACAGAATGTTGACAAAGGGTCAGAATTCCAGAGTGTCAATAATTGATGCTTCCAAGCTGGACCAAAATGGGATATTTTCCGCGCAATATATCCTCAGCAAAGAACCCCTGTCTTCTGATATTACCCCAGGATATTATGGATGGTCAGAATGGCTTATTTGGAGAGAGATCCCGGAATCAAGTATTGTCTGTACAATAACTCAGTCAGAACTCCTTGAGATTGCAGAACTTCACCATGATATTGGCTCTATTCTCCAGATTAAAGACATAGCGTCTTTTACTTACAACCGTAACCCTCTTCATTGCAAACTCAGGGATAGTCCTACAAAGTTTAATAATGCTGCTGGAGTGACTGTAGGTAAATTTCTCAGGATCATCAACTTACCCGTGGAATATGCCAACCAGGTTGCCGTGAAAATTGCACATGGCTGGCGTTTCACCCGTGAAACTAGATATGCTCAAGATGATGAGTTTCTTGATGGGGTCCAGCTTGGATACAGCAATTCGACATCGGCATCCGCAATACCCTTCACAACACCACCAATAACGCCCCAGAAATCCGAAAGGCAGCAAGAAATTATTGTAATCGATGACGACACTGATGCAGAAGTTAACGATCAGCACGTGCAGGAAGTCGTGGTTATCGAAGATGATGAGGATGTGGAGGTGGAGGACGTGGAGGCCATGGAATTAGACGAGGAAGCCGAGGTATTGGTAGTAATAGAGGATGAGGAAGAAAGCCACCACCATGAGCACCAAATCAATCAAGCAGAAGAGGCATTGGACAGGTTTCGGGAAGAGCTTCGCCGCACCATCGAATCAGAGTCCGAGGTGGCAGAAGAAGTCACACAGAGAGCAGAGACGACATATAGGTGGCAGTCAGTGGAAGTTGAGCTGGGAGGAAATGAGGCTGTGGCAAATGTATTTGCACTGGACCGGGAGCGAGTTAATCGGATGTTGGGGTGGTAGCGGACACATCGGCCAGGGTTTGAAAGCTTCTCAAATTGGTCAAGCGGAATCATTTGGTTAGCCCTGGGTTATTGTTTATGTCCTTTTTGTTATATCCCGGGTTGCTGTAAATTTAAGGGTCTCTGTGTGAGAATAATTGTTGTGTTTAGTAACTTTGTAGTTTATCTGTTCGGGAACTTGATGAAGAGGAGGTACCGGGGAAGGGAATTTCTTCGCGTCCCAGCCTGCAAAGCGCGATAGGCTCGCAACTCCTGCTTAATGACTTTAATATGCATCAAATAAAGTAAGTGTCCAGGGTTTGTTCTCCAAGGTTGGATGTGCGTGCTACGCCAGAAAGAGAACAGCGCGCAGAAGTGAAATTTGAAAAAGTTTCACATGGCATTTGACAACTAAACTCCTTACTTAGTATTGGAATATAATTCCCCCTCTATATGGGAGAAATCAAAACAAAACAAAAAAAAAGAGAATTATGCACAAGCCGCCCCTTTCAGGAAAAAGGATTGAAAAAAAAGCGTGAGCTGTGTCGTTTTGGGGGCACGCGCCGTTTTTCCATGTACCTTTTGTCCTTGTGCCTGTCGTTTCTATCATTTTTTATTTTTTTAATCCTCAATAAAAAACATATTCCGTAACATCAAGGCAGGTTCGTTTGTCATTTGGCCCTCGTACAACCCAGCGCTCCACACCAACAACCTCACCCCCTCACCCCCGCAACGCCTTCCAGATCAACAAGCATCTAGAACTTTCCAAATTGCTTAACGGCCTTGCCAGTGCGGGGGAGGACGCGAAGGACGTTGAATCGGACCTAGCAAAAGCATATTGAGTTAGTACAAACGCATACATATGTCAAGATATACCAATAGTGCCGCTCCTAAATAACAAGTGCTTGCATACGGCAATAACACCTGCCGCGCTTTTCGTCCATTTTTTCTGCATTTGCAAAACAAAATGGCAATCCCGTGGAAAACCATAACCTGGAAATAGAAAAAAAAGGTATATGTCAAATCAAACACATACAGTCTTGCTGAGAGGTCTGCACTGCCCAACAGTGACCTGGTCACCTTCCTCAACACGGAAAGCTGGGGAGACGTGGGCGGCAATGTTCTTGTGTCTCTTTTCATATCGGGAGTATTTGGGGATGTAGTGGAGGTATTCGCGGCGGACAATGATGGTTCGGTGCATCTTGGTTGAGACGGCGGTGCCGGTGAGGATACGACCTCTGATAGAAACCTGGCCGGTGAAGGGGCATTTCTTATCTGTAGTTCAATGTCCTGAGTTAGAGATGACTTGATTTTATCGTTGAGAAATCGAAAATTTTTGGGTCGCATTGCGCCAAAAATGGATAGAATAGAAGCACGGTATCTCGGCGGCTTCTTCCATCCAAAAAATGGCCAAAAAGCATATCCAGCCAAAATTCCATAAAGCCGTCCATTCCATTTTCCCATACTGTCTCAATTCCGCGAATCCAACGAAAACTTCAAACATCTCAAGCGTGTGTGCTCGCGCAACTCGCGCGGGTTATATATTCAAAAGCAACTGGCTCCGTACCGATATAGCTTCCCTCAATGGCAGTCTTTGGGGTGCGGAATCCCAAGCCCACGTCCTTGTACCATCTCCGGCCTCCCTTTCCGACCTTCTTGCTCTTGGACTTCTGCTTAGAGTTGAGGAAGATGTGCGGCTGCTTCTGGAAAGCACGTTCCGACTGTACGGTCAACTCGGTCGCCATGGTTGCGAAAAGATCAAGATATCCGACACTGGGCTCGCGGGACGGGGTTCTGGGAGAGAGTTGGTGGATTTCTGGCGCGAGGTGTGTCGAGTGGTCGTTGGCGATGTCGTCGTCCGAGATTGACAAGTTTTGTGCGGAGTTTGACGATGCCGAATTGAATGTGGGAGTGCTGGAGCCGCGCTAGTGCGGATGCGTGCTAGTGTCCCTCGGCTAGGGCTTTTCGGTTTGTTTACTACGCTAGTCTAGATTCGGTAGCTCCGTCATTTCCAGGATGACGCGACGAGACTACGGAAACTCTTGACTTGGGGACGACAACTCCGGATAACGATACATATATACAATACTGTAATACTTCGGGCTGGCTGCGCGTGGGCAATGGTGGACGTTAATCCATATTTATCAACCTGCTAAACTCTCAATTCCCTTTCCGCTGCAACACATATTCCTACATTTATTCCTACATCCCATCCCGCAAACGCATGGCGCCGACAAAGAACGATTCTGCGGGGGCTGCGCGTGTGAGGTCTTGCCGGTCTTTCGCCCAGATGCCCCGTCCTGGCGTTGGATCTGGCGTTGATAAGGAAAATATGACTGCGGATCTGAGCGTTGTGAACGAGCAGAGAAATGCGCCGCAGAGACCGACACGATCGGATAAAAAGATGCGGAGTAAAAGTCTTGGGCCTGGCGGGTTGGATGCGCTTCAGCATGCAAATGGCAATAGACGGAAGGTATATATTTAAATTTCGGATATTTTTAATTCACTGACGGTTTTGAATTACTAATTGCTTGACCAGTCAACCGCTCAATTCCCATTAAAGTCCATTCTCAAACCTACGATACCCGTCTCTCCCATACGAAGTATTCCATCTTTCGATGAAACGCGCAAACGAACTCCGGCTCGAAGTCCGCAACGCGGCTCCAATTATCGCCAATCAAATAGCCTGAATGAAAAAAATGAGCCCCCTATTAACGTCTCTGAACCACCGTCAGCTCCCGTTGTCGGGGCAGATCATTTGGTCAAACCATTTGATACTTTTAATCCTTCGGCTGTTATCCAAAATGCCAAAATTGCGGTTCGCGCGGAGGGGGAACAAATGGCTGCGGCTAGGGAAAGGGAAGAAGCTGAACAGCGAGAGCGCGAGAGACAGGCTATTTTGGACCACAGGGCAGCAAGGCGAAAATCGATGGGTAGGTTTCAGACCGTTCTCCTCAAAGCATTGTTCTTACTAACAGTGTTAAAGCAAATCGTCGTGTATCATTTGCGCCAGAGGCCACACTACATACTTGGAACGTAGTTGAATTGGCTGAAGATTCTACGTCTTCCTCCGCCTCGAATTCTACCAGGCGCGCCTCTGCTTTGACGGATCCAGCTCAACACACCCAAAAGCAAGAGCTGGATAATACTGAACCGCCAACGAACAATCCACATGACGATCCAAATTATAGTGGCCATGATCCACATCAAAAATCACATCGCAGCTCAGGCGTAGCTCACAGAGATATGTACAACCCCGACCCTAATGAAGCATTTTCTTCAAGTCCATTTAGTGGAAGCTCGGCAGGTGGAAGTGAAGAGGCCGGCGAACATGTTGTGGATGGGGACATGAATTCCGATGACGACGACGATGACGACGATGGGGCCACATTGATGAGTATGGAGAATATTACCGAGCGATCTATTTCTACACATTCCGAGGCTTCAAGCACTAGCGATAGTGCGAGGCTAGAGCGATCTTTACGCCAGGCTGCTCAACTAGCAGGCACCAAAGGAATTGAATACGATGAGAATGGTGACTTGTCTATGGAATTCACGAATCGTGAAATTGCTGGGGCATTCCAACCTTGGGTTAAGAAGGGGGCAAATAAACTTGACTTAGACTTGGAAGACTTAAGTGCTCGGCTGGACCAGGAGAATGTTAATCCTTTCTCTCACCCACTATCGCAATATCAACCTCCAAATAGGCAATCTGATGCCGGATATTATGATGAGAGTGAAGCAGATATGAGTATGGATATAACCAAAGCCATTGGAGGAATAATTCCGGGGAAACGGGACGAAACCTCACCACATGGAAAGCCCCGCCGTAGGTCCGTTGCTTCAAACGATGGCCATTTGGACAAAGCCCGCCGGATATCGACCAGCGAGTTGTCAAATCTCGGGGACCAAACTATGGAATTTACAAACGTGGTTGGCGGCATAGCTCGTAATCATTCTCCTCTAAAGGGTATCTCTGGGGACAGTGACGTTGGCAGTGATGAAGAGATGACCATGGAATTCACCTCAGCTCTTGGTAGTATCCAGCAGGCGTATCCCCAACTGACAGCCGCCGAAGAATACGAGCACCGCTCCAACGAACCCGCTGAGTATAGAATTGAGGAGCTTGATCAAGCATCTGGTGATGAAGAGATGGAGATGACAAGCGCAGTAGGAGGTATTTTACCACCCATTGAGGAACAAACTGAACCCCTGGAGGACGACGAAACCATGGGTATGGAAATGACGAATGCGCTAGGAAAAATCTTACCGCCTCAATTCAATTTTAACAACAGGTCTCAAGGAAAGATGTTGATGGAATTAGAAAGCGATGCTGGTCAGATTTTTAGCTCACCATTCCAAGAGAACATCGTTCCCTCCCCTCCGAAAATCGCTGCTACCATCGAACAGAACACTCCGATCGTGTCTGAATATGGCAGCCCGACTGTAGCTAGTGTTAGACGCAGACAGGATCGAAGAAGCGTGGGTCTAAGAGAATCTACTACCCCTAGGGGCGGCTCTCGACCGTCATCTCCAGTAAAAAAGACAACGAGCCCTTCTAAAAAACAGTTGACTCCACGGGGTAACAAGGCTTCGACTCCTGCTAAGACACCCCCGTCAAGCAAAGTCGCGTTTCGGAATGCATCCCCGAAAAGGCCTTTCGTGCCGGAACTTCGAGAAACCTCCACCAAGAAAACACCGCCCAGCTCAAGAAAGCTTTTCCATCATGATAGCATTACAGGCCAGGCCACTCCATCCTTTGTCTTGCACCCTCACAGGCGGCCGTCGAGCGGCCTTGGTATCGATAGGGAAGGTCTCGGGTCACCGCGTGTTGCGGAAATGCTAGATAGGCGGCGATCCATCGGGGAGGACTCCCAAAGCTTTGTTCCACAGGGTCAAATCTCTCAAGTGGTCCGATTTGATGACCCTCGGGAGCTCGAGGAGGAAATTGATAAGGAACGAGAAGAAGAAAGGGAAAGGGAGATCGCAATCACTAAAGCACCCAACAATTCTCAGAATGGGGAATGCCCACCTCTTAACTTGAAAGAGCTAATATCGACCCTGACCCCTAAGAAAAATAAACCAAAGCCACGAAAAAGCCTGCACGTGGGTGCAGCGGTAGGCCTGCTTGGGAAGCGCCCAGCTGAGCTAGATCAGGATGACGAAGACGAAGAAGCCTATACTCCTAAACGACTGAGGGGTCGTGATGCAAGCCCCGTCAAAAACATTAAACTTCCTGCCCCTCCTTCCATGGGCGAAACAGTCAGGCGAACAATTCGAGCATCAAGTTATAATGACCCTTGGTCGTCTCCAGGCAAGCCCGGGAGTACGACCCCCAAGGGAGTTCCTCTTTCTAGCCGGTTAGATTTGTCCGCAGGTGAAGGTCATACCGCCCAATATTCTGGTGCTGGCCCGGAAGGCAACCTGGGGAGCTATTCCAACCAAGAACACGAGCCACAAGTTGAGCCAATACAGCTTCAAGATTTCCTGAATATGACTAACATCCACTTTATGGAACTAACCACAACAAAGAGGAGACATACATTGGCTCCGTCAAGTGATAATAAAAAGGCTACATCAAAGAGAGATGATGAGGCTGTCAAAGGCATAAGTTTCGAAGATTGTGTGGCTGCTGGCTTTTGCACAGTTCCGATGCTTGAATTGTACCAACACGTAAGTGGGCTCGCTCCTCCTTATTCTCTTTCAACGAGCTAACTTGCTTTAGTCGTGTCGTGAATTGAAATCGTATATATCAGAGGGTCGGCGGATTATCCGGTCTATTGAAACCGAAACGTACGCAGATAACCCGCCTTTGTTCCAAGAATACGTGACGGCGCCACCAGATATACGGTTGTTGATGGACAACCAATTTCGTAACGTCAAAGCTCACGCGCGCCTGCTAAGCAAGTCCATGTGGTATGAGTGGCGCATGAAACTTTTGGAGGGCTTAAAAGAGGGACTTGATCGTCACGTTGAAGAGATGCAGAATGATGATGCGGTTCTGTCGAAGAAAGAGGATCTCTTAGATCGTGTGGTGCCCCCTTTAGTCGAGAAACACGCAAGGCTTGAAACCGAAGCCCAGAATCTCCAACGAGCCGTCGATGAACTGGAAAACTGTGATAAGGAAGAACTTCGTCAAGCGCGTGAACGGTTAGCTGCGTTAGATGCGGAGATTTCCGCAAAGAGGAAGTCATTGGAGCAGTCACAGGCGGAGCTGGAAAACAAGAAGAGCATAATTAAAGCTGGAGCGGGATTGAAAGATGAGCTTTTGGCCCAGATAGGTGAAGCGGAGCGAGTCACAGAAGAGTGCCGGGGTTGGAGTATAAAGGAGGTTAAAACTCTGAAAGGTGAGCATGTACACTCTAAATACGCGCATATTTTCCCTCTTTGCTAATGCAACATGCAATAACAGCTTCTGTTCGTGAACTTGAGCGCCAAACAGGCTGGAGTATTTTATCAGCTTCTTTGAAACCGAGCTCCGAATATGGCCCTGCTTTGAGAATGCGATATCGCAATGAGCTCCAGGTGGATTTTTATCCCGGCGCTTTCAACCTCAACCAATCCACCCAGGCGTTGTCTGGCGGTAGCTCCTCCCCAGGAAACAAGAATCTGCCTATTACCCTTACTTACTCACCCAGCGTGACCCACGAGGCACGACATGCAAGCAGCAGCCCTTCCCCTGAAAAGGCTCTTGTCCTCCATGCGCTCCGCACGTGCGCCTCCCAACTCCCACACTCATCAATAAGCCCTAGACAATTCCTTGCAGGCATGGCGCGAGCATGGGACAAAGCCATTAGCCTTGGGGATGAAATACGCGCACTCGATTATTGCGGAATCACAAGGGCGAAAGCCATTGAAGCGAAGCCGTCCGAACCCACTTTATTAGAGATCCGCTGCATGGTTCTCGGCTGGTCCTCCACGACCATAGCTCCCGAATCGACTGGAGGTGATGCAAAGCAAATATCACCATTGAAATCAAGAAACGTGGATGGCAAAGTCAGAGCGCGGATCGATGTCGATTTTACGGTGAAGCCTCGACCCGCTCAAAGTGGGAAGGATACTCCTGACATGGATATTGATGTTGATATCGATGTCTCCGCTAGCATAATTTACGGCTCCTTGAGTTCGTATGAAGGAGACGTAGGCCAAGCACAGATTGGTGATATGTTAGAAAAGATTATTCAACAGAAGCAAGCTCCTGAGGCTAAGTTAGGGGGTGGGGTGTGGCGCGATGCGGTGAAGAAATTCGAAAGGAGAGTGTTCACGTAAGAATGGAGTTTTGATGTTATCACTTTTGCCTCCCTTGGCTTTTTCCTCATCTGTGACGGGGGGAATCTGATGTATCTAACGATTTTCTTCTATTTGTTGTTTTAAATGACGTCGTGAGAAACATTGCATTTCCAACGGCGCATGGCTTCTGCGGTTTTATTCACTCTGCTCCTGCTTCTTGTGGTTGACGAGATTACTTTCTTGCTTGCTGTTTGTGTGGGGGTTTTCAATCTTTCAACGATGATTTTGATTTTCGAGAAACAAACTTGTTTTTGGTACGATTTAATTGCTTGATTGAAGTAGATCAAGATTTATTCAAGTTACTTTTAAGTTGCATCACTCTTCGTATGGCTGATGAGCAGCAGCCCACCTATAAATTGACTGCTTCGGAAGTAAATCTACACAGATCTTTCGCCACTGCCGGCTGTTTTTCAGGGCGAATGCATGGTTGAATACGAACTAGCTGCTTGGGTTAGCCCCTTTCTAGCGGTCGATAACCTTCGAAGCGGAATAAGCCTAGAGACGAACCCGGGGAGAAAACGAAAAAAAAAGCCAACTCCAGACATTTGTGAATCTTGATAAGTTAGATGGACTCAATAGCCAAGTTATCTATTGCAATATACAGAGTATCAGTTTCCTCGTAGCATCTCATGAACGTCACTACTTCCAAGGCGCGATCTCGCCTCCCCTCTCCACCTAGGCCCATATACGAATTGTACGCCCAAAACGCCCAACCCTAGAAGGAGAATCCCAGCTAAAAGTGTAAACGTCCATCCAATCCCTATTCCCTTGATGATGGGAAACACAGCCGCCGCTCCCCCACCGCCAAGTAGACACCTAAACAAGTTCAGCGCTGCTGCTGCCGTAGCGGCCCGTTCAGGGTAAACGTCCACCAAGAAGGTAAAGACAAGGCACTGGATGGACGTTGTTGTCCATCCTACTATAAGGGTACTGATGATGGGGACAGAGATATGGACATTCTTATCCAGCGTCCAGCCAAAGACAAGGATCGAGGCGCTCTGCACACCAGCCCAGAACCAAGCGGTGCGGAGCCTTGTTCGCTCCAGTGGGAAGCTCTCCGCCGGTCCGCTGTATTTGCTTTTAATGCGCTTGTAGTCGACATCCAGGAGCCTCCCTGTTGATGCAGTGCTTACCATGCAGCCCACGCCGTTTGCAACGTATGTTAATCCCAGTTGGGTGTCGTTGAGATTGTAGGTTTGCTTGAGAAGTGTAGATTGCGCGGTGAGAGTCATTTGCCACAGTGCGTAACAAATGGAGACGAAGACGATGGCAAACGTGATTTCAAGGCTAATGAGGATACGGATTGGGCCGAGGAAGTTGAAGCTTTGCTTGCCATTAGATATTACCGTTGTGGGCGTCGGTGCAGAGTCTGGCTGTGAGCCTTGTGCTGCTTGGCGTGGTTGGAAATACGTCAGGGGGCATTTTGAGATGCCCCTGGCAGGGACGGAGCTGTTTCCAACCAATGATCGAAGAGTCTCTGGGAGGAATAGGCCGAGAAAAACAAGAAATACCGCTGAGTAGATGGTGAGGAACCAAAATATGGATCTCCAGCCAATCGTATCAGCAAATACCCCTCCGAGGATTGGTCCAATTGCAAGTGGTAACATCTGCCCTGCCTGGAAGTAGCCCATGTAGCCGCCTCGTTCATCTCTCGTAGTAATATCTCCAAGAACACCAGTGCCGACGACTATGGTACTCGCACTTCCTATGCTTTGGAGGCACCGTAGCACCATAAGCTGGGGGTAGTTGCTTGTTTTTGCGAGACCAACACAAGCCCCTGTAAATATAATGAAACTTGAGAGATATACAATTCGACGGCCCTCGCAATCTGAAAACGCGTCCCAAATGAAAGGTATAATCGCCTAGAAAACGAGGTAGGCCGTAACGGAAATGTTGACCAAATCTATTGACACAGATAGGTCTGTCGCAATCGTTGGGATGACGGGAAAGTAGATATGTGTAGCCAATCCTGAAAATGTAGCGGCAATCGAGACAATGAAGACAATAAGACTCTTCATTGAAGGTGGGAACACGCAGTAAGGAGAGATAAACGGTACATCTGCACCTGGACGGATTGGAGGTTGGGCCATTTAACTGATGAAAAGAGAAGTAGAGCCAAATTGAAAATGAAAGCTTCAATTTGAAAGTGAACAGAGATACAAACCAAGAGTCGCGAAAAGATGTATTTGTCACTAATTTTCAGAGAGTCGAATCAAACTGGCTCCCCACATACGTATGGCTACTGCAAGTCTATCATCAATCACTCTCTCGGAAAGAAGAAAAGTGAGGAATGGAATGGAACTCAATTCCGATACCCTCAGGTACCCAAATACTATATCATTCCCGACGCTCTTGGTATAATATCCCATGTTATGCGGTTGATTGCCCTGGTATAATGAACATGTTTACAAAGGCCGGTTTGTCAGTTTGCCAAAAATTCGGATGTTATTGTGCTCCCATTCTCCGCTGCTACTTGTGCAGCGGGGTCAAACGATCTTCCAACGAATGATGGGCAAATCCCATCATACCGAACATATATTCCTCAGCAGAAGAATTCGTTCCCTGGACGGAACTTTGCCGTCCGGCTTAACATCGATGTTTGTACCTCCCGGGCAGCTCGGGGGAGTGCTCCGCGGTTGTTGGAGGAGCGTGAGATTTAACCAGTATTCGCGCAGCTAACGTTATCTCTATGCCAGGTTTTGACAATTGCCACATCTCCTGGTTGATTGATCGATCTGGCGAGAAATGTAAAGATATACTTGTGCAGCATCACTGACCCAGTCGGCATTAGCCCACCCGGTGCCCACGGGTAATCCCTAATCGTGTGTCGCCAATGCGTGAGAATTGGTGATAGGGGTAGAGAAGGCTGCATCCCAACACGATAACGGATCTACCATCTCGTTTTAACTTCTTCAGAAATGCGAAACTGAGACTGATATCTTTGCCACTCCACCAGTCCAACATCAAGGCGTATCAGATAGTTTGTTCATATATCCAGCATTGTGAACTAAGATCAACCAGAGCCCGTCGACAGGTCCCTTTCAGTAATGCGATACTTTCAGGACCGGGGTGATTCAACAGAGGAGCAGATCGGATCACATCCAGAGACCATGGAACTTTTCGGTTCTAGGGAAAACGAACCTCATATTTAATGCATCAGATTCAATGAATGAGACCAATTGCGAGAATTCTTTTTTTGGTAATTGGAAAGGAAGGACAGAAGCAACATGGTCGTTGGTCAATTGGCGACGACAAATAATATCTGGCCCATTGAAAACCGCCTTTCACACCCGCCATTTAACGGATAAACCTGAGCAACCTGGATATCACCTGGCCAGTAATCTGCGCTCACTTTTCGCGATGTGCTGGCCAGAGTGCCATCATATTTGCAGTCCGTGCGAACGAAAACTCCAGCCAAAGAGAATTAGAGGAGTCTGACAGGATTTCGGCATTTTGGCAGGCCGTTCCGGTGGCGGCGGCGAGAATCTGATCTTGGATCTCTTCTGTGATACCGCCACATGAGACGTTCAGCTCCAGTCGCCAGGCACCACTCAGGAAAACCCAGTGCTCTGGAAGATTTGGATAGAGCAATTAGTGGCACCTGAATCATCCTGGTGGAATCACATCAGCCTTTGCTTCAACTCGAAGGTGGAACTTGGACGACCAAAGACCGTAGCTGCGTTGACTGGGTGAATCCGTCATTGTGACTTCAAGTTTGACCAACGTGTGGCATTTCTTTCGCAAACATGGGTATATTTTCTTTCTTTTACAAATGTTGTTTTAGTGGGTGGTGATGATGCTTTTGTGGTTACGTAGCACATCGGGATTTACTCGAGATAACACAGCTATAGTAGGCGCTTGTAGTTGAACAACGCGAATCTACATTTATAGTCTCTACGACCATGTATGTATATTTTCATATGGAAAAATGTCAGTGGAGAAAAAAAAGTTCAGTAGACCCTAGAAAGAAATATATTAACCATTAAAGATATATTATATAGTTGATATTGTGGCAAGTATACTATCAGCATAAATTCTCCTTCCTGCCCAAGGGGGAAAAAAAGAAAAAAGAAAAACAACATTGCACTTAAATCTTCTGCAATAAACAAAGAGTGAAACAAAATTAGCCCCCTGTACAACTCCCACGCGCTCAAAATATACGGCACATATCAAACCATGTAGAATATTTCGTGGGCGATGGGAGTATGATCAAGTTGGAACAGAATGTTTCTCATCTTCTCGGTCCCTTACTTCGCCGTTCGGTTCTAAAACATCTTCGTGCTCATATTCATCGTCCACTTCGTCCGCCTGGTGTTGATGATAGTCAGGATGATGTTGGACCGGGACCCAGGAATCACGGTCGCCTTTGAGGGGAGGATCTTGGCTGGTAAGGTCCACACCCTCACCACGCGTCTTCGAGATGTTATTACGGCGCCGTTGGGAAAGGGTGCGAGAACGAGTGGAAAGTTTAGAGCTCACAGCCGCATTAGATGAGACCCAATGCGTCAATGCATCTTCACAGTCTTGAATAATTGCCCTACTGGCATCGTACCCATCATAAGCATTCCGAGTTTCTCCTGGTGTAACTGGGGTATCGTCAATCAATTCAAGCAGATGCTTTCCGTATCCAGCTATGATAGCTAGCTTTTCGCAGTGTTCGCGCAGAGCATCGAACTGGTAGGCAAACGCAGCCTTTACTTTCTCTCGCGTGATGTTAGATAACTGTGCCTCCGCAACAAGTGATTCTGCCTCGGCTCGAACCAATTCCTGCTCCAATACTACGATTCGAGGTGAATTGGGCTCTTTGTATTTGAGATGCGCTATCTGGTCCGTTATTTTTTGCTTCCCTAGGAGACACAAAGCTGGTTAGTATCAGAACAGATGTAGTGTATGAAGCCAACGAGTGAACATACTATCTCTGCTTGGTTGTACGGATGCTTCGATGTTGCGAATGCTTTTCATTGTAACCCGGTACTGGTCATATCGATCAACAAATTGATCCTCTAGTTCGCCCATTTCGTATATTAAAACTCCTAGCTTATCGGTAACATCTGAAACGTCATCGTCGCATGACTCTCCCCAAAAAGAAAGTTGTTGCTGTGGATGCATCAATATGTAGTCAACCAAAATATGTAATAGGATGGCACCAAAAGAAACGTACAGCAGCCTCCATTCTCTCTCTACCCACCAACTCCATGCTTCGCATCACGTTTTTTTCCATTTTAACCAGTTGGGAAAGCTTTCTGGATAGGTCCGGGCCAAAAGCCCCCGCTGTCTGTTTCCGAAACGCATGACCTAACATGGCAAGAAAGCGATCAGTAGCTTCTCAGCAATGGAGTAAGATGATGTTCAGCTCGACGAAGACATCAATTCTTCTGCAAGCACAGAGACATTTGTACGTATTATGGCATAATTTTCGGGGAGCAAATGTACAAAAAATGCTGTTTACCCACCAAGACTGGTCCTTCCAAACAGTCGGTTCGTTTTGGTCGTCGAGGGCGGAGGGGGCGGGTTCTCAAGCTGAGAAGCCGTTGGCGTGCGCGATTGGCGCATGGAATACGTCCGATGCATTGTGAAGAAGAAGTATCGTATATATATCAGGCGAATCGTTATATAACTATGTGTTTAAGAAATAGTTGGCGTCCACACCTAGTTTCGTCGTTTGGGAGTTATTTAGTTGTAGCTGTTTCCAGAAACGTAAACGGAGCACACGAGTGCGAAGTCTAGAGTTTAAATGAAAGTTACGAAGCCACACCAGGCCCGGTAACACGCGGTTGAATGAGGGATGAGAGGAAACAAAGTGGAAGTGCGTAAGTTGTATGAATATCAACAATAATGTTGGAGCTTGACTGTTCCAAGATAAGATGCGGCTACGAGATGTGACGTCGACAGAGATCGCTTAGCCTTCCTAAAACGGACAAGAGCTAGACGTCAGACAACAGGCCCAGAAACCAGAGACGTTAGGAAGACTTAAACCAACTGTTGACCCGCTATTTCTTAGCATCAAAGGTTTTTCTACGCTTTGGAAGTTGTCTAACATGAATGCAGGCTAATGGTACAGGTTATGCAAGGTCCTGAAACAGGTGGATGACACCATTAGCATCGCAAGGAGCGGCAGCTCGATGCTTGTGAGATCACTCCATGCTCTGTACGGAGTACGTTGGTTATACGTCACTGAGATTGAAAACTTTGGTCGTTCTTTTAGCTATGCGAACCCACTTTGCTAGCCCCCACCGCCGCTCCAAGTTGAGCTATGACAGCCATTCTGGAAAAAGCCATTTGCTCACTACAAAACGCCCCAGCGTGGTCGATTACTATTGGATATCGCCATAAAATCTTCGCAATTCCCGGTCCTAGCATCAATAGGAAAGAAATCTGCAAGTCAATTCCACCCTCACCAACTTAGGAGGCTACGTAAACGCGTATCGAGTTTCCAAACTGGTGTCGAAGGGAATGGCAAACTTTCCCAGGGTGAATTCCGTCAGAGATTAAATGAGGATGAAATTTGGAATATTTTGTTTTCGTGATACCCATCATATATGCTTTGAGCATTTGTCAACTCATCGAAGAAAAACACCCGCCTAGGGATACCAGATGCCAAATTTGAGATCGTGTGGTGGGCTCAAATCGAATCTCACGCAAATGTCGGTAGCGCCATATGCATGGGCATTCCGAACAAGCCTCGCGTGATTTCTCTCTTTGCAAGTTTTAAGGATGCACACGCAACTGAAGAGCCACGATTCAGCGAAGGCACATTGCACCGCCTCGATAGAATAGAAGGCCGGAATACCCTCGCTACTTCTTCTCTGTCCCTGTTTTCATTTATTCGGTTTCTCATCCTTGTTTTCTCTCACTTTTTCTCGATGTCTTTTGGTTACTCTCCTGGTCATTTTTCGTTGTGCAACTTACGTCCGACAAGGCAGCTGCTCGTTCATTAACCTGGTGTAGAGAAACAACAGTGCTTTGCCGGTGATTCCAATGAATTGCCTGATATCTTATGTCCATGACGAACAAGGGGATGTGAATCGACTGTGGGAAAGAATCTCGATATCGATATGCTGGGTCCAGACCACGCTTTCAGGGCAAGGAGGGTAGGGCGTAACTACCTAAAGCGAGTGTATCCGCCCAATACGAAATTCATGCCCGACCCCGCGAGTATACAATGGGTGCCCTACCAAAGGGGTGACTACAATAGATGGGAGCATCTCTTTCAAAACGATGTTTGAGCATATGTTTAATCTCGACATATGGAACGTGGAAGCCCCCTACGGAAGAGGAAGATAGAGGCTCACTAAATGATAGTCCTAAACCGCGAATGATCAGGTCAATGCAAACTGTTAGACACACCATCAAAAGCAGCGTCCGTCCTTAGACACCTTTGGAGTGTGGAAATTACTTCCGCGGATGGATGAACGAACAGGACCTTTCCTTAGGATATTACTTGCAAGATTTTATGTTCACAAGGCGTGGAAAGGAGAAGAAGGAGATTAGAGGGAGATTCCCCAGAGCCAACATCTTACAATGAACCATCTTCAGAATGGCTTGCTTGGGGTTGAAAGAGAGAAGTTTACAAGCAACCCATTGACACATAACTAATACCCAAAATTTACAACTATTGGCATGAGCGTGTTATCTTGTTCAAGTAATAAATTATTTATTCCCCCTTCCCATTTCCATACTCAGCATTGTATTACACTCCAACCTACTAGCTACAACTTACTCTAACACTAGATAACACTACATGCAGACAGAGATGAAAAGGGCAGCAAACATCAAACATCAAATGGCCGGACCGTTATGGATTATAACAACACATTGATTGATACCCGTGTCACTTCAGCCATTTCAGCCACCTTTTTCAAAAATATAGAAAACCCTCCAAAAGAACTGAATATTGAAAACAGAGAGGAGAGACACAGTGACGCGTCCATCATACTCACTCGACCATACCCAGCCACACTGATCACATTCAAACCACCCAAAAAACCGAGAACCTCAAGTCATCCCATCCTCTTCCCACCTATGACAAAATACACACCCCCACATACTCAGAGCACAATGCGATGCGATACGATGCGGGCGGGCTTCATCCCCGGCCTGCAGAGTGAATATGTTACACATGTGTATCTTTAGGCCAAAAAAAAAAAAAAAAAAAAAAAAAAAAAAAAAAAAAAAAGTTCTTCACCAACGGTCCGTGGGACAAGTCGCCTCGTTTTTTTGTCCCCGCTCGCTCTCTATAGGCGGGCCAAGGCAAGGGGCTAGGTGTTTCAAACAAAGAACAAAGATGTAGTGATGTATGTGGGAGAGTATTTTTTTTTGGCTATCTCTATGCTGGTTTCTGCAGTGTATTTGCGGAGGGGTCAAATTTTTCATCGCCATCATCAGCGTCAGCGCTTTGACACCTTCTACTGAAGGAACATTTTTATCCGGGAATCTACTATCGCATCACCCTTTCTATCTATCAAAATATACACTTTATGTATGGATAGTAAATGACAGAATCAACACAGCAACTTGTCTACCTTCAAAACTGCCATGTCTGATGTCAGTTATATTCAATTCAATCCAATTCAATTCAAACAAACTTGTTCCTTTCTCTTCCTCAGCTAGAGTTGACCTGGGTTTTCTCCCAGACTGAGTATCCTTTCAAACACACAAGAATTAAGTAAATAAAGTGAATAAGAAATGCTAGGGGGTTTGGAATATGCTTTCAAGAGAGATATCTATACAAATAGAAAGAGAGAGAGAGCATTGTTAAAAGGAGAAAAACAGAATGCAAGTAAATGTAGTGCATGACCTATTTTTGAAATGATGATAGTTGCAGAGTACTTTATCTATATCAATATACATTGTTAGATTCTTTGTTTTTTCTATGAACTTTGCAGGTTGTGATTTATATATTGCATTGCAATAATACGCAGTACTGAGAGGCAAAGCAAGCTGATCAGGGAAGAGTACATCTATACATACAGTACAGAGTATGAAAGACAACAAAGCATGCAAGCGTTTGCATATGCAGCATACCACCAATAATAATCCCTAACCAACACATAATGGGATCAATTCATTCCCCCGCCCCAAATTTGACGAAGCTGCTTTCAGCAAACACTCTCACTCACTCACTCGATTTCAATAATACTAAATCCATTCATTCAATTCAATCCCCCTCCCCTCCCGCCCTCTCAGTCTTCAAACAAAACCCAGCCCAGCCCAGTACAGTACCGTACCGCGACAGATTGGCCGTCAGATCCATCATCCCCCGCACGCAGCGGGTGGTTTGGTTGGTGAGTCTGCGTGGTGGAGCGGTGGCTTTGTCAAGCCACTAACGAACTAGTTAACTTAACTAGTAACTATCTAACTGACTAGGCGAGGCGTGGGGCAGTGCTATTTTTAGAGATTGCATGGCATGGGGATTTCCAAGGATTCGCGAAGGATTGCATGTGGGATGTGAGATAGGAGATGGGAGATGAGAGACGGGAGATCTGAGTTTTTGAATGAGGTTGTGGTTGTGGTTGTGGTTTGGCGGGTTGGATGCAATATGTACAGGATGGATGTATTTATGTATCGTATCGTCCGACCTGAAGGAAGTCGGGGGATATGAATGTGAAATAATAAATAATAATAATTTTCTGTGATGGTAACTCATTTACCTTTTTTTTTTTTTGATCCCTTGCTGGATTATGTGTGGATATTATTGTAGGATAGTTGAAGGTTGTATTGATAGATCTATCTACAAGAACATAATATAGTGGTGGGTCACGTGATCTAGTGGGATTGCTAACCGCAACAGCTGTAACAGCCAACACCCCCTCTTAAGATAATAAGAATCACATACAAAAACACCCAAATCATCAAGATAGTCTGTCAAAATTAAATATAAATGTAAAATTAAACATTTCTAACTTTTACATCTGTAAGATCTAGTAAAATCATGAATTATGTAAATATTACAGTGTCTAGAAGTCTAGTAAGTTCATTCACTATTATCTGAGTGATGAGAATGTATTCTAAATCAATAACTCTCTAATTCAACTATCAATATAAAAAATGAAAATATATATTAATATACTTACTTCAGACTATAATGACTGTTATCTTTGTAAGATTTATAATATTCTTATTATTAGTGAGAATCTGTATCAGAGATATAGTAATAAAGTCAAGCTTAATTATAAGATTCTGAATTTATATTACTTCATAAATTATCTCACTAAGAGTTATATATTCAGTCTCATTGAAACTTAGAGATATACAAGATTGTTTCATTAAATATCATAAAATTAGACTATTTATAAGCTTAAAAATGTAGCTGAATATTAATTTTCTATTATTATTTAAGAGACTGATTTAATCAGAATCTGAGTAGCTGAAGAGTAAATAGAAATCATCAGAAAAATCAGAGAGAATGAAAGAATTGATAGAAATAAATCTCTTATACAGATTATATCTATAGAAAATACTCAGATTTATAATCTCTTTTAAATAATATATAATATATAATAGAGTCTTTTAATATTAAGATGTTAAATCAATATTCTGTTGAGTGAGTAGTATGATAGTATAAGTGATATCAGAACATGTTTTAACTGCAAGATATTATAAATAACTCACATTATATTAATATTATTAAATTATGAAATCAGTCTCTTTCTCAGATATAGAGAAATCATTAATATAAAATTCATTCTTCATTGATATTTTAATAATAGCTGTATTATCAAGATAGAAATCTTTAATAAGATATTTAATATATTGATAATATATTAAATTAATTTCTTTATCTGAATAATTGACTTCTATACTTAAATACTTGATTAACTGATATAGATTCTTGACTTCTAATTTCTCACTAAGTATACTCACTAGTCAATCAGTATTCTCAGAAACTTCAGATATAATATTGAGATTATTAATATAGATTATTATATAGAGATAATATCTGAATATATAATATCAGAGTACTGAATTATAGACACTGACAGTAAATTCAAGATCACTCAGTAGAGCTGTTAAGTAATTATATCAGATCTTCATCACAGAATTCAGACTGTATAGACTATTTTTAATTATATAGATAAGTGTTTTCAGTGAATCTGTCTCAAATCTAGTGAATTATC